TATGCTTTACATCTAATATAAAATGTTTATATTTTAAACCATAATTTTGGCATAAATATTTAAATTCTTGTTTTCTTGCCCATGAACTTTATATATATATATAATACAATTTCTAATTTTTGAAATATGATTTGAAATAATATTCAAGGCATCTTGAATACATAAATGTAAGATGTGACAAGCACATCTAATATGAAATAATTTACCATTTAAGCATGATTTTAATTGACATTTTAAAATATTTATTGCAAATCATTATTGTTAGCATTATCAAAACTAATAGAAAAGTATTTAAAATATGAAATAATTTGTTTTCCATTCTATAAGCATGCAAAGTATTTAAAATACTTGCAGCAATAGTTGGGCCACTATGTGGCCATTCAAGCCTAGTAAAACTTATAATTCTTTTATTCAAAAGCCAATTTTCATCAAAGAAATGGCCGGTAACAAAAATATAACTAATATTAAATTTGGATGTCCAAACATCCGAAGTAATTGCAACTTTAGAATTAAGATTTGCTAACAAAGAAATTAAATTTTGTTTATATGAATAAAAAATTTTTAAAGCATCAGTTCTTATAGTATTCCTAGAAACTTTTTTATATTGTTGGTTTACAGAACTACGCAACCATTTTTCTAGCTTTGGATCTTCAGCTAACATAAATGGTTGTTCTGCATGTACAATATACTTAGCAAGTTCTTGCCTCATTTTTTCTTGTGAATATCTAAAAGTACTAAAACTAGTCCCCCTCCCAATCTGTGTTTGGGTTGTTTCTCTCCCTTCATCTTCCTCTTGCTCATGTGTGAGCAGATGTCTGCTCAAATGACTCATACCACCCTTGCTATAATAACTAAAGTTTTTCCTACATTTTTGGCAAATGGCCCTTTTCCCCTTCTCCTCAATATCCTCTACTTTGAAAACTTTCCAAACTGGGCTACTCAGCTTAGAAGCCCTCCTTTTTCCCCTAGCATCACTACTACCGGGGTTGAAAGTTCCACTTCCATCGACATCAAATGCATCGGCATCAGTGCAAACACTAATACTATCATGATGCGATTAAATGTCATCCATGGTGAACATGTTGGGGAATCGGTTTTGAGAAGGGCCGGCCATTTTTTTTTTAATTCTAAAAAGATAAAAATTAATCTAATTCGACTTACCTAGATTGTCGGTTCAAAATCCCAACTTGATTTCAACGGTTGAAGCCTTTCAACGTCTAAGCCTCCCAAATTGGGATACTTGAGCTAGTTGAGCAAGCCTTCTTATTGAAAGTCGAAACTTGAGAATTGGAGAATGCAAAATCAAACAATCAGCTAATCAGAATTTCTCAGATTGCAGATAATTGAGAATGTATGAGTATGAGAGTGAGAGAGAGAGAATTAAGAAAATTGTTGAATTGGTGTGATGAGAATGGTGGAGGATAGGGCTATTTATAGGAATTGAACATAATTCAATTGCCCCAAATACCCAAAAAGCTATCTGTTATTTAGTTGTTGGGAGAAGTATTTTGGTCATTGTAAAGTTACTTATAACTTTACCCTAAACTAGTTGTTATATAGCTGTTGGGGGGGGGCATTTATGTCATTTTTTCAACCCCCCATAAGCAAAATATAGAAATACCCCCCTAATATGGCTGTTTATAGCTGTTGGCGGGGGGGATATTTTTGTAAACCCCCCCCAAAAGCTAAAACTAGCTGTTGGGCCCCTTTCGGAGGGGGGCCCAACGGCTATATTCCCGGGCGGACTGAGCGCAGCCCGTTACGGACCTGGCGAACTGTGCTTCATGTTGTGCTGTGGGCTGGGCCGTGCCGGCACACGGGCCGCGAGCGGCACAGCACGTGTTGCCGTGTCGTGCCGTGCCAGCCCATGGGCCTCGAACCCCCGGCCCAGCACGGCATGGACCTCTATGCCGGGCCTAGCACAGCACATTAGCCATCGTGCCGGGCTGCAGGCGGCCCGGCCCAATTTACACCTCTACCCACAATGCTAGTAACACTAACAAAATAACTGCTTTTTGATCTCTATAAACACAGATCATGTTACTGGAAACATTTTCATCTCTATGAATACAGAGACATAAACTGAGTCTAGCAGACATTTTATCATATATGAAATAATAGTAGTATGGTGGAGTAATAACTAGTAGCAGGAAAAGAAAACAGAGTTAGACTAGACATTACACTAATGTTTATATATACATAGTAATGCAATGTAGTGGGGCAATTAGTTTAGGTTTGTGGCCTCTACAGGAGATGCAATGAATGGCAATCAGGTGATTAATCAGTGTCTAGGTTTTGATTAATTTAAAAAGAAAAAGAAAAAAAAAGATAAGGGGAGGAGAAGAGTATTATGACCTTCACATGGGGATAGGGTTGTCGGGCTTGGACCAGATCAGCAAAGAACTGGTCCCGAGTCCTGACCCAAAAAGAAAACACTCAGACCCAATTAGAACTCAAAGACTGTTGTATATTATAGACCCAGAACTGACCCTCTTATCAATCAAAATTAGCTTTTCTACAAATATACTTTGTTATTTTTTCCCTTCTAGTAACTGAACATCATATTACTTGTTAGTTACTTTGTCTTGTTACTTGAGCCCTGCTACTAGTGTTGACTCTGCTAACTTGCTAAGACAACTAATTGATAGAGAAAAGAAAGATGAGAAAGGTACTGTCTTTGATCACAGAAATCCCACTTGAGTTGGAGGAGTCATTATTACATGGTCTTAGATTAACCTTGGATTTGTAAGCTTTAGTACATGTTTTCTGTAGAAATTTTTTATATGTTCTGTTGCAACAGTTCAGATTGAAGTTCAGGTACAATATCACAGAGAAACAGAGCAAACCTGTTTCTCTTAAACCTATTGCTGAACTCTACATTTTTTATTTCAAAAGGTTTTATACTTTTGTTAAATCTGTTTCTCCTGAGGGAATGGGCTTAATTGTTCAAAAAACCAAAGATGGATGTGTTGTTTTCATGCTGCCATAGTTGGGAAACAATTGCTGGAACAGATACCGGTTCTACAATTATACTGGATGCGGTTTGTGATTATCTTAATGTTAAGGTTTGCACCTTGTGCTGATAGTATCATTTTTCTCTATGCATGTAATCACCTCTATGACTTATATAGTTTAAGGATACCATATTCAATATTTTCATGACACTTTGAATTGTTTGGTCTATTTCTCCATGCCCTTCACTTGATTTTGATTTTTTGTCAACTCTTATTGTTTCACTGAAAGATTCTGATGCTACCAGCTTTTACTTAATTATATGCTCTTTTTGTCAACTCTTATTGTTTCACTGAAAGCATTCAGGTTTTATTTTATTTGGTGTAACTTAAGACCATATTTCACTGATTTTAGGTGTCATGAATGGTAGATGCTGTAGAGGATCTTTCCTCACTCCATGCTGCTTTATTCTTGTTGGTTTTGTACTGATCTTCCCCCTCCCTCTTCAAGCAGTTGCAATTTTGATTGTTTCAGAAGAGATTTGGTTTAAAGTTTAAACCATGTAATCTCAGGTATATCCATGTTATTGAAACAAATTCACATTACAAACGTCTATCCAATTTTTCTTCCTTATTTTCCTGTAAAAGAATCTAGATATTTGTATTATACCCACTTAAATGCGTTCCGGTATGATCTGGTATTGTCTATAATATATACAGGTATGTTGTGCAGATGTTTTCTCTGCTTGGAGTGGCATCCGTCCATTGGCCAATGGATGATGGACCCATCAGCAAAGAACATTGAAAGCATTTCTAGCGATCATGTAGTGTATGAAAGATTACCCTGGTTTGATATTACTGGTGGAAAATGGACTACATAAAGAAGGTAAACTTAGCATTGACAAAAGGTTCATAAGTATATGTGGATGATTTTCTTTTAGATGGATTTCTAGCACATCCATTCACCTTTTTCTACCGGATGTCTTGTCCGGAGTATCTTACCCAAACTATCTTTTAACATAATAAACAGTCTTCCTTGTGTATTTCTTGCTAATGGCAAAAACAATGTTCCTTTCCATTTAAAATAAGAAATGTAAATCATCGGTTCGTTTTTTACAACCTATAACAAATCTAACTTTAAAAAAAAGGTTTAGGAGACTTTCAAACAATAAAATGGTATGTTTAGAACTTTTAAACAAGGAGATTGATAATATGCAGCGAATCATGTGTGGTTGTGAAAACAAATGTATGGGAATCTTCGCACAATTTACATGGGCTAAAATGGTAGCAAAACCCCAATACGCCTCATCAGTCCTCAATAGCAGAAACCCAAATTAGATATTTTTATCTAAGAATGGCATTCACTGTTCTCCTAAGGACACCACAACAACCCAATAGATTATCTCTTTATACCAAGAGGCAACAACTGAAACAGCACACTTCCCATTACCTGATGAAAAATAGGTCCATGGTTACCCACGGAGACTACAGACTGGCCAACCACCATATATTATCATTAGTTTTCCCATATATTATCAATCTCTATAGTTAACTGCTGCTCCCACATATGTACAAATCTAGAAGAAATACTGCAAAAACCCACCAAGAAACCCATAAAAGCTTCAAAACTGTCATGGGATACAGAACAAGGGGAGGGGAAGAACAAGAATCACACAGTTACACCCAACAGAACATTTAAGGCTGTAAAAAGAAGCCATGTACCATAGGCATAGACCATATTAGTTAGATAATGGGGATGCTTCAAGATACGAGTCACGTTTAATACTTTGAGATTCCAGGACAATCCTTGCAGCTTCAATTACTGCTTGTCCATTGAAATAATGCAGCCGGCAGACAGGCATATAAACATCAGGCCCACCAATCAGTTCTGTCTGTGTCTGCTCTGTCTTCCTTAAGGTAAAGAAGGCACGCTTGCCACAAAACTCACATCGAGCTGTTAGCTTAGTTACAGAATCAGCGAGAGGAATGATGTCAAGCACAGAACCAAAGCTCCTTCTGCCAACATAGGATCTCATCAGAGAAGGAAGGAAAAGAAAATGATGGCAAACAGATTAAGACCAAAAAGTACAGAAAGTACCTCATGTAGTCACCATCCAGGCCTGCAACAATTACAGTCTTACCATCATGATCAGCTGCCTTGCAGCAGAAACCATATAGATCCTCAAAAAATTGAGCTTCATCGATTCCAATCACATCCAGCTGTGACCATGTATGACCATGAGAATGAGATAACTATTAGAAAATTACGTGAAACTAATAATACTTACAAAAAATATGTACCATCAGAATTCACATAAGAGGCATCACTAATAGATATGAATGCAGAAAAATTAAAGCTTTCTAGATCTTTCAATTTACTACCATAAGAGCTTGCTTCGTAGTATCACAAGTCTTTTTTTTTCAGTTGGCATATCACAAGTTCACTAAGGAACGATACGTGAGTAAATCGAAAAAGAATCAATTGCCAAGGGAATAAATGAATTTGGAATTACAGCTTTGAAAATACCTTGTCATAAACGTCAACCCCAATTTTCTCTCTGAATGATGATAGATCCGGCAAAGCCCAGCATGACAACTTTGCTCCGTCATGCGTCACAATAGAATCTAATTCATATCTTGTATCTTTATTCGATTTTATTATCGCTACACTTCTGCAGTTATAAATATGAAAATGTATGTAAAAGAAATTTAATTCATTCTTCTTTCTGGTGATAAGTGACAAAGTGATGCTCACAGGAGTGACCTTCCTCATGGTACGATAGAAGACAGAAACAAACAGAACCCGAAACCCTAAATTCGACAAAAAATGAAGAGAATATATAAATACCTTCCATTATTGCTTTCGGACTGAATTCGACGAAGCAGAGCGGTGGTTTTTCCAGCGAACATTGGGCCGATGATAACGTGAATCTCACCGGAAGGCAATCGAGATACCTCCATTCGGGGAGCGGAAACCTTGGAAGAAGTCGACATCGAGCAAGCAAAAGAAGAGAGGGGTTTAAGGTGAAGAAAATGAGAGTTTTTGAGAGAGGAAGAAGTGCAGAAAGGATATTCAGAGAATGGAAGGTATGAGGGAGGTATTTGTTTGGAGAAAGAAGGGAAGTTTGAAAGCGCGGGCACGAAGAGGGAATTCATCTTGCACATAAATAACATGGAAAAAAATCTGTTTGGTGGTGCGCCTGATTCCGCTTAATTTGAAATTGAAAATTTTGAAAGATTTGAATTGAATGAAAAGAGAAAGGAAAAAAAAATTAAAAAAAAAAAGGAAGGAAACACGGTGGAGTGAATGCGGTTTCGAGGGCTCTTAGTCTTGGTCTTGGATTTCCCTTTTCCCTTCACTCTCTTCGTTGCAAAAGCGAAATGTGCTTTGGAGGGAAAGCGAGCGAGGGAAAAGTTTTGGGTTGAAAGGATTTGAGTGTAGGCCAATTATCTCGGGATATCTGGGCTGGGCCGATCTAGGCCAGGTCATACACGGCTGTCTGGGCCCAGCCTGACCCTCACCCTGGGCTTGATGATATCTTTCTGCTCAAGTATGTCAATAAAAGTTTTTTTTTTTTAAATATATCATAATGTATATATTGGGCTATGTTTGGAAGAAAAACTTGCCACGTCCATATTTCCAAAAAGAGCTGGTCCAGATAATTAAGGCCCGAGCAGAAATGATCATCCATCGTTGGTTCTGTTGCCTCCAGATATCCGGATCTCGGTCCTAACAATAATTCATGTCCAGACTTTTTGAATAGGTAGTCTGTCTACTGTTTTAGCAGCTTTTATTTGGGGTACTGGCCTACTGGGCTGGGGCTTGAAGCTCCTGACTTGGTGAAGCCTGCAGTTCGTCGTCTTTCACTTTCGCCCAACTACCAGGAACAGGAAGTTGAAAAAAATTGACGTGGGCATGCTGGGATTATATGTGGATAAATAGACCCGATACCCATAACCCATAACCCCAGGTAGGATTTGATCCAAGTCTTCATTACAACCAGCAGTCCATTTGGTGACCTTACCAACCAACCAGTTGGTACCTTCCCCATCTGAATGGTTTTTGAAGCATGATAGAGTGAGCATTGGGTTTATTCTATTAAAAATCAAATAGAATAAACCAATTTTTATAGCTTCAATGAAAACCAAAAATTTCTGCTAATCTAATTTTTAAATCTAAGAACCGAGAACAAATTAATCCAAAATCGAAACAATCGAATCAAGAAACTCAAAACCGAGCATTTAGGCTGTGTTTGGTTTGAAGGAAAAAGTAGGAAAAGGAAAGAAAAGATAAAAAATTCATACAAGATTTGTAAATATTTCCCATTTTTTCCTACCTTTCCCTTACTTTCTCTACTTTTTCCTTTAAACCAAAGATAACCTTAGGGTGTAGTGACACAGGACATCAAATATGAAGCAAGGGGCTCCAAGTGCTGGCCATTGAGGAGGAAATCCTCTAATGGCCTAATGATACTGTGTCAACACATTTTGGGTTTATTTGTTTTGTAGGAATAGGGTCTGGAATTGAAATTGGCATTTATTTGATTAGGTGGAATGGGACTTTGATTCTTATTCTTAGCAGAATGACCAAACCCTATGTGAGGGAATGGCCATTCCGGCCTGTCCCCTTCGGAATGACAATATCATGCCAGCATCCTTTTTGGAAGTTGCGTACATTTTTTTAGAATTTAAACCCAATTCACATACAATCCAAACAGGCACGAGGAATATGTGATTCCAATTATAATCTTCAAATATTTTAGTTTTGATTCTAATTACAAACTAAGGTGTTGTTTGGTACTGGAGTGTTGTATGTCCGTTTTGAGTCCATGTTGGTGCCACATAGGGTATTCTGCTTCAACAGTCAAAAAAACCTATTTGGTTAAACTGTTTTAAGTGACAAATGAGCGAAAACGGAAATGCCTAGGAATCCGCATAATTTACGTGTTTCAAGTAAGAGGCTAATGTTTCTCACAATGATGATGTGACGTGGCAGCAACATTGTTGATGTGACCTTCTTAACATCTCTCCTGTAGGTGAAACCATTGGATGCTTGTAGAAAATGCCTCAGAAAACAGCCAGGATACCAAACACGTACTAAATGATGTGATATTCATCAAAATTCACCCATGGGTTTGATTGACCAAAACTCTTACATACATACGGTTTCATGTCTTTCCGCTATTATCATCTTTACCCACTTACAACTGAAATGATTGGTATGTAGGGGTGAAAATGAATCGAAGTCGAATGGGATGAGGCAATATCTAAATTCGAATTCAATTAGAAAATTGGATATCCAACGGATATTAAAAGTTAATATCCAAATCCGAATCTAATTAAATATTCAAATATTTGATTCGATTCGAATTTGATTAATTAATAAATACATAAAATAAATATTTTATTGATATAAAGTATATAAATTATTTATATAACTTAATTATTATATATAAATTATATAAAATACTTTATATATTATATATAAGAATTACATAATTGGTCAAATTCAAATATTTATCGAATCGAATCAAGTCATATCTAAATTCAATCGATTAGATATTCCAATTATCCGAATTCAATTCGGTTATATCAAATATCGAATTCGAAATCGGATTTTTAAATATGGTTAACACCCCTATTGGTATGGGAGAATCCTCTCTCCCCACTCACCAGAAGAGGATTTGGAAGCAATAGCAAGGGGTCCTCCTAGGTAATTACCGTGTGGCAGATATGATTATGATTCATCCATTGGTTATTACTTACCAATATTCGAACTATCGTTTGTAATACAAAATTGGATTAGTGCCTAACCTAACTTTGGGTCCATATAATCTGCAAGCCGAGGTCCATTCAATGGTGAGTTGGTGTCATCCTAATAAAGGATAAATCGCAATTTAATGGGCACTAGATTGGTTTTGGGTCATGTCTCTCAAGACCCAAGTGTTTGTCATAGCAAAAATAAGGAATTAGTTTATGGGTCATTTCCCATATCCTAAAACTAAGGTGGTGTTTGGTTTCGTGGTCATCTCGTGGATGGCCCATTTCAGTTCACGCCATAGGATAGTCATAGTGTTCGGTTGGTTGTGGATAGAGACGGTCAATAATATATCATGGATTATCCCTGTTCATAGTCCAAAATATCGGCCACACATGTATCTCGTGGATGTGATCGGTTCACAATACTTTGTCACTCTATTTTAATATAATACATTTCGTTTACATGCTTTTCTTTCTTTTTAAATGTTAAATTTTGAAATAATAATTTTTTTTAATATTTTTCAATGAAATAAGAATTTTTAATGTTAAATCTAGCTCAAGTCTAATGATTCTCCTTCTCCACTCTTTTTTTCATTTATTAAAATATTAATTTTTAATGGTTTTATCAATAAAATAATATTTTAAATTATTTTATTATCTTTTAATTAAAATTAGTGCTTATTGGTTAATATTAATTTATCGATGCCTTTTTCAATTTATTTATCATATAAAATGCAAAAACTAGACATTTTATGATCAGTTGTATAGGTCATTCATAAAATGCATATGAGATACATGGAATCAAAAAATGTACAAAACGCTACTATAGATGTGTATTGGTCTCATCTACACAATTTATCCATAATTCAAAACAACTTGTGGACTGTGGTGTGGCATGGATTGGTCCCTGTCACAAAGTGTGGTGTAAACCCACCAATCTCTCATCCACACTACATAATACCCCAAATGAGCCACTAAGTCCAAATAGTTTCAAAGGGTTAATTGATTTGTTGCAGCCTACAAGACACCCCGTCCCCCATGTAACTTTAGCCGAAAGGGAATTTGATACATTGATACCTCAGTCTCTTTAGATTTCTCCTTCAAAACCTCTCATGACATGAGTACATGACCCCCTGTTCTCATTTCATTTAGCCTTTCATATATCCTTGCTTTCACTATTCCTACTCATATTCTTTGCCTTACCCTTCCTCTCATATTCCTTTCTTTATCTGTAAGAAAGTATCAACGAGAAATTATAAGTGACTTCATTTCGGGATCTCAACGTACAATAGGGAACACTACACCACTCTTAAAACTCAACAGATTCTATTAAAAAGTAAGTAATAAAATAAAACAGGTTCAGTTTCACACAGAATGCAAAACAGCCCTTAAGCATATGGTTTACGTTATGCTCCACAAACCTAGTGCGTACTGCGTACAACTTATCTCCAACCCAAGAAGATGCTGTTCCAGATTCTAGTGCGTTTGGGAGACACTTTTGCTTAATTATTAGAAGCCCAAAGGACCCAAAGTTGCCTGAATTAATTGGTGTTTGATAAGAAAGCTCAAAAAACACTTTTCAGTCCAAAAAAGCTTGTTTAAGAAGACAAAAAAAAAAGGCTTTTAAATACTTCTTACATTTTGGAGAAGCCCTTTATTATAAACATAACAGCAAACTGCAAACGCTCAAATGTGCTTATTTAAATACGCACTTATTCAAAAAAAAAAAAAAAGTGTTTGTTTAAAAACCCATTTTAAAAGTAAAAGCACTCCCAAATGTGGCCTAACAAAATTGAATCCACCCGAAGAAAACATACTGTCATATTTAGGGTGAATCAGTTTTTTTCTTCAAACAATCTCACATTCTATATCAGCAAAACAGACCCATGGTATGATGGTTAAAATCAGTTTCTAAATTCACAAACCTACAGAACTTAGGTTATGTTTGATTTGAAGAAAAATGTAAAGAAACCTTTACAAACTTTATATTGGTTTTCCTGTCTTTCCCTACCTTTTCAGTCAAACCAAACATAACCTTAGGTTCTGGAAGGAGATTTTACGATTTTGAATTATTTTTGTGAACTGATAAAGTATGAATCGTTCAGATTAATTGGCAAACACACCGTAAGTTTTTAAATTACAGCTAATTGGCAAAAAATAGTAGGTTATGGTAAGCACTATATATAAATGAGTAGATACACTATGAAAGCGTTTGACAAGTCCTTTTGTGCAGTCTTTGCATCGATCTTTTCAAAGCTTGACCATAATTTGGTCTTTCTTTGTTTCTTTGTTTGCATAAAGCTAGAAAGACCTATGTCCAAGAAAGCTAATCAAAACACAAAATGACCAAAATTTTGGATGCCTTTTCATCATTTTGTACTCAAAATCTTTCATTTAACAGTTTTATAGATTACGATAGATTACGATAGTACTTGAAAAATACTTATCAGACTGTCCAGATGTTCGTAAAAAAAACTTGCCAAATGGCACTTTATTCTCTCCAATTAAATTAATAAGCTTGACGGTTAGAGCAGGTTATTGAATAAAGGCAAAAGGAAAAATAAAAGGTTCACTACTAACTCATTATGCCTTATGTTCATTTCCACTTAT